CTTTTTAATCTATAAGGTCCATTGTCGAAACAATGCATAAAAAATAATAAAAAAATCCCGAGAACGTATTTAATACGCAAACAATCTAGAGTTAATCAACTGTTTTGTGAATATCTGTTCGTAAAGATGATATGCATAGGTTATTTATCTTATAATAAAAGACATAAAGAATAAAAGCGTTAATCACTACAAGAAAGATGAATAGTAAATTATTAATGAGCTTCCAACTTGATATTCAAAACCCTGGCATATAACCAATATTAGTTCTCAAACAAAAGAAAATAATAAAGAAAGACTTATAACGCTGCATAGAAAATTTTTTAGCATAATTCAAGTTAAGGTGGAAAAAAAGGCCTTAAAAGAATCCTGAGGGGCTAAAGTTTAATACTCTATTCGAAAACTAATTACAATTAGGCATAATCAAAAGCGCTCGGGTAAAAAAAGTATAAAAAGACTAATTTATTCTTCGCTTTCAGATTGGTTTCCGAACGAAAATAATAAAGAGCCTTTAAACGGAAGAAAAAGTATGAATGGAAATGGAGTTAAAAAAAAATGTAAAAAGAAAGCTCTTGGGCAAAAAGAATACGAAAAGTTATTAGGAAAAAAATATATTTGGTCGCCAAAAAAAGTCGACCATGAAAGAAGTAATCAAGGATAAAAAAATTCCCAACTTCTTTATAAGGAATAAAATAGAAGGAAGAAATATCAAACATTAAAAAGAAAAAAAAGGCAAAGTAGATAAGAAAAGAAAAGAAAACATTATTAGAAAAACTGCGTCTTGGAAAGAAAAAAAAAATCATTACGTTTAAAAAGAATAAAAGTTTTTTTTCCCCTTAGAGAAGGGAGAAAAGAAAAAAAAAACGGTGATTCTAAAAAATAAAAAAAAGCATATACGCTTAAAAAAAGATTATAGTCGGCTAAAAACGAAATTTTTTTAAGGGAAGAGGAAGATAAAAACAAATAAAATATAAAAAAAAGGAACAGAGTCGGCAAATACTTTACGAGATTTATTAATTGGCGCTACTCCCACACACACCTTCACCTTTTCTAAACTTCTATTTGGTTCTAGAGACATCTATATTCTCAGGAGATGCTGAAGATAAAGCTAGCTAGTTCACAACTTTTTTTCAATTTAAAACATTTTTTTTTTCCTCCTCAGTTTTTCCCAGGATCTCCCCACGCAGACGACAACAATGGCTAGGAGCACGGGCGGTGTCTTCGGCTTTATAATAACAAGCTTCCCTTGTAGACTATTTTTATTAAAACTTTAAAGTTTATTGATGAGAGTGAACTTCCCTAATTTTTCTCTTGTTTATCTTTCTCACAGAGGGTTCGAACGCCAATCACCTGTTGGAAGTTAAAATGAATCCCTCCCGCCAACCGCAAAGGCGCGTGACCAGATTACAAGGGAGCTTCGTTGATTGGCTCAACGAAAAGAATTCTGCGGTCCCCTTGAACTGCGTTTAAAATCAGCAAACTTGAGTCAGCTAAATGGAAAGTATTGTTCCTCTTTAACTTTCTTGTTCTTTTTCGAAAGTATTCTCTTCTAAACCCTTCCCTCCCCCGCATTCTGCCATCATCATCATCAACAACAGCTCCATTCTGGATTGATGAAATTTCCGAATAGACAACATACGAAGATCTGTAATGAGGCGTGATAAAGCTCTTTGATTTTTTGCTGCCCCCACCGGGTAGAATATACTGGTATATGCTGATTTTGCTCACAACCGTCAGCAATCAGTAGCAGGTAATGCAGCGGGAAAGTGGATTAAGTTTGAATGCATCTATAAAATCTACCATGCTGTGCTATTGAGATTAGTTCTTCATATTACACTGCTTCGTTTTGAATCAAATTCACTTCTATCAACTGGAACCTTACTTTGAGTTATAACTAATTCTTTATAAATAAGGTTTTTAGTAGACATTGGCGATAATGAAGCTCAAAAGCTGCATTTCTAAAATCTTATTCTATTTTAGCTAATAACAAATTAAGATTATTTTGCTTTCAAAATGAAAGCAATATGACTATTTTTAGAAGCCCATTGACAAGTAAATAGCATCAGAAGTCAGAAGAGGGAAGCTTGATCAACTATCATCTCCCTGAAAGGCTATTTTATTTTTTATTTTATAACAATCGTTGAACAGCCCACCCAATTTTGAGTTTATGACTACCAAAGCTTAACTCCGTAGAGGTATAGTATTTTCTCTCCGTATAAGGAATTTACTCCGTATAGTGAATACTTTTTGGATATAAAATTCACTATAATTATTGGATTGGGTTTAAAATTCACTATACGGATATGGTTCACCATATAGTGAATTTTGAACCTAATCCAGAAGACAAGGGAACTCTTAAATCATGTAATGAGAGAAATGTGCCTCCGTGGGGAACTTTTTTGACAGTACTAATCCACATTTGCGTAACATGTAGAGAAAAACCACAAAACTCTCCCATTGTTAGCCTCATGGAAAGGGAACTCTAACCCATGATCCTTCGACAACTGAGGATATTTTACGTCAGCGCTTTTTGTCGGTACTAGCCGGGTGTGGAATTCATACCGATCAGCAAGTACTGAGATTTGAATCCGGGACACCTCATTGGGAGGCTAGTGCTCTATTCCCTGAGCTACCACGGCTTCTTGGAAAGCTGTTTATTAATTTAAACTGTTCTCTGCGACGATGTTTTGTTTTTATTATTATTATTATGTAAAATAATTTTTTATTCGTTATATTTTATATGCATGCATATAATATACTTATACGTAATCGAAATCAAGCAGATGAATAACGAAACTAAAGATTATACTTCAAATAATCTATTTTTGTCCTAAGAAATAATGTTAAAAAAACGTCTAATTAAAAATTAAGCTACTTAATTATAATTAACTGTTTTATGGTAAATTTGGATCAATAAATTGGCGGAATTGGAAGAATTTTGGTTGAATTGGCAGAAATTTAATTAAAAACTGTGCGTATATTATGAAGCATGATTACACTATTTTTTATACAGTCTCTTGTTTAGATTCTTCAAGAAAACAATTCTGGTGGTACTTTTACACTGAGAACTAACAGAATATAATGAAATTTAATGTGCTTGTGCATCTATGAAAACACCAAAAAACTCGGTAATTTTTAATGAAGAGCTTTAATTACTTTGGTAAAATTAGCAAAAATAAGGTTTTATAATATGTAAAAAAAAATATTTTAAAAATTGCAAATGTGATAAAATTTGATAATTTTATCATGATACCTTAGAGCATGGCTTAAAATCAATTTATTCGTCTAAATTTATTTTTCAGTTTCGTATTTTTTGCTAAATGAATGGAAATAAAAACTATAGTTTTGAAATCAAGAATTTTAGTTGAACAGCTGCCATATTAACAGAAAAATTACCAGATAATTGGTTTAAATATCGCATACTTTGGTTTTATTAACCAGAATTAGGTTTTTTTCCCTTTTTTTTTACCAGCAATGCCATTTTCTTACAGTACGGTAATTTTACCGAAATTTTAATATTTTTAGATCTTGAAATCTTTTGAAAAAAAAGTAATGAATTAGGAAGAAAATATGTTCTATAATATTTTTTTGAGCAATACACTAATTGTATGTTAAAACTCCTAAATGCCCATCCTACTAATCTAAAAAAAGCATTATCTCAAAATTTAAAATAAGTATTTGATCTAGGGATGCATAGCACATAACACCATCCGAACTGTGTAATGCAGAAGATGAGTAGGAAAAGTAGATTCGAAAATCTACTCGAATAGAATGTCCAAATTTCAGTGGTATATTATGACATTTTAATTTCGTCTATTCACAAAAAATCTTACATACATCAAATACACGGCAAGCTGACCTAGTTTTTCCTACAAATAGTCACGATGTGAACCATTAGTTATATGGTACTCCTCCAGCCTAAAGTCCAACTCTTCAAACACTTTGGTTAACAAGTCCACAGTATCTACACTTAGATAAATAACTGAAGAAGAATTAGATCTTTGGTTGGATGTGTACCATATAACTGGTAGTTTAACTCTTCCAACACATTGGTTACTAAGTTAAGAGTGTTCACACTTTAATTAACAATTGAAGAAGAGTTAGATTCTTGGTTGGATATGTACCGAATGTCTAATAGTGCACATTTAAAACACTTGTCTGTAAAACTAGGTTACTTTGCTTTTAATTTGATGTACAATTTGTTGCAATTAGTCTAAATCAGGCTGCTATAGTATACCATTTAAACTGAGACATTTTTTTTAAATATTTTGTACTGTATATATAATTAATGTTAATGATGCTTTAAATAAAGCAAAGCTGATATCGGTTACAATATAGTTTTATTTTATTAACCTTACTTTAAAATCTACCTGTTATAAGTGAAATTTTACAGAATTTTTTATCGACTCTATCAGCATTAGGACATCATTATTCACATGCTATCTAACTTTTTAAAAATATGAATGGAAAATTTTTAAAACGTTGTAACCGTTTTAACTTATAGCAAACAAATAACTTGTTATTAAGTCAACTAATAATCTAATAATTTGCTTATTTGAGCCTATTTATTGAACTTAGATTAATATTTTACTTTAGTACAAATTTAGTACTCTCTCTCTCTCTCTGCATATATATATATATATATGATCTTCTCAGCATATGCACGACATTTCCCAAGAAATCCAAGAATCGTAAAAAAAAGAGTAGAAAATAAGGTTCACTTTAAGGTTTAACAAAGACAAACGTAATGAGAAATCTCTCGATAGTTCTGGAGAACACTTCTTATAATACCATTCTATAAAATTTTATTCCGTTTTCTCGGATGGTTTACTCGCCAGGGGGCATATATTGGCAAAATTCTTCTCTAAATTTCATGTAATCATTAATTCAAACTTAACAAAATTCGATATTCCTGAATTTAGAGCTAAATATGATTTGATAAATTTTCTCTACTTAAGATATAGATTTTTTTTCAATGCATGTAAAATACTATTTTCTTACAGGTACTGGCAGAACTGAGAATGGATTCAAGAATAAATATTATGAAAAGAGGAAGACTTTATGCACTGAGTATAGTTATAAATCAAATCCAGACTGTTCTTCGTAATTAAGAATTATAGAAAAAAAGTGTTTGACATTATGAACAAGAAATAGCAAGCTGAAGAACAAGAAGATTTGCTCGAAAACTGAAAATGTAAATAATTCATACATTGTAGAAATATGCTTAACTTAAGAACATACTTTTATTCATTCCCTACCTATTTAAGTACAATTTATTTTATTTAATAAAATTTTTCAAAACATGCTTGTTACTTATTTGTTTTAATTTATGCAAAAGCATACGGGGGAAAAAAAACGGGTTTTTTTAACGATAGTATTAATCGCTTAAAATACATCTGCCATTTATAGTAGCCACATTTTTGGTGTTGAATTAGACAAAAACATTTTTACAGTTCATGTAGTCACATTTTTTACTTACTTTTTCACTGCAATAATTTTATTTATTATTTATTAATTTTTTGTTTGTTTGCTCAGAAACAGCATATATTTTCACGAGCAATAAAATCAATTCGATGGCTTCATCGCAAAACCGTTCGCTTAAAAACAAGTCCATTTTTAGAAATACATTCCCCTAATTCTTTCTAACGATTGTTGTGTTGTCAATTTTTTGTAATTTTATACAGGATGACTACAGTTCTGTACTTAAAAATTTATTAACTCGGCACCGAAAATGGTGGCAACTAAACACCAAAGTTTTTTTACTGCGTGTCTGTACTTTCATTTAATCCATATTTTGCCAAAAGGGCAAACGTTTGATTGTGATAAGAAGCCATGTTCCTCTATAAAAATAAGTAGAACTTTTGCATTTACACAAAGTGGATAATTTTTATCATAAAGCTACCACTTTTAACCCATTGTTCACAGCTAGTAAAACTGCTGGACCAGGATAACAGGTATACTAAGATTAGCGTAAAAAAATTGTAATATAAAAACATCAAATCCATAGAAAGATATCAATATCAGAAATATATTTTAGTGGCAGTAAACGTCTTAATTTTGCAAAGAAAGAAACTGAACAATTAAGTCATCTTTTATCTTTTTGAAGAAAAAGCACGTTTATACGAATTGGAATAGATGTTACTTTCACTTTTTCAAACAAGTTTTTCCTTATTTCTAAAAGCATTTGTTGCTAGAAAATATTGCTGAGAATTTGTTTCATTTAGTATTTCATTTTATCAGCTTCACACCTTTGCTGAAAACGTATACAAAAGACAAAAAGCAAATGAATAAGTTCAAAGATTTTTTCTTGGAAGGTAGCCATTGATTTAAATTTTATATCAATTTTATAAAAAAAAATGATTTAAAATAGCATACATGTTTAAAGCCTTATATGAAATGGTTTTTTTCTTTTGTTTTTGAATCAATAAAAATGTGAATCAACTATGGAAATTTAAATGCCAAATATGGCATTAAGAGATTATATAATTCAATAAAAACAATTTCAATAATACATTTTACAATTCTGCTTCCGAATTTGGAAATTTTGAAACATTACTTGATAATTACTTGTTCTTAAACAATAAGTAAGAAACTATTTCAAATAATTCTATTAATGAATCTCAAAAGTATTGTTGAGACATTTGTTCTGTTACCGAACAACTCCTTAAAAAGAATAAAAAAAATCATTATTTAGTTTTTGAACCAGTTTTAGTCGTTCACTTTGAGTTCGACGTCCATTTTAAACCGATATCATCACATCAGTATTTTGAACTCATCGAATGTGTGGTTGCACAGATGTAATTGCGGGCACATTTTACAAAGTTCGGCTTATATGCCATTGTCAAGTTGAAATAGAGATAGCACAAGATGGAAAATGACAGCTCAAATATGCAACCTGGGACACGGTGGGGTTTGAACCCGCCACCTGAACATTAAAATGAATGCATCTTTGTAATGTCTGTCTCGAATTTGAGTATTATGTTTTCACCATAAAAAGGGCCTATAATTAAACGTACTTCAAAGAGCAAACAAGTCTGCATATGTAAATGTAACAATAAATGAATAAATAAATTCTTGAAATAGCTATGTTCTTTTAAATAAAATTATAAATATTTATAATAAATAGTTAATAAATATAATAAAATATAAATATTTGAAATATTTAAAATATTTTTAAATAAAAATTAAAATTATTTTTTAAGGCAGATAAGTTTTATGCCTAAGCAAAGAATGGCTTGTCTCTTGACAAAATACAGAACAGATAGCACAAAAATGAGAAGATAAATAAATAAATATAAAAAAAGAAACAGAACAAAGATATTGAACCCACTATCTCTACATTTCAGAGCGCTTGGCGGAAAGACTACAATCCGTGGTAATGGAGACCCCAATAAAACACTGTTGCTTTAATTGCATCACGCCGTGCAGTTTTGCTGTTCCGCTAGCCAATTTGGAGCAAAGACGTAGAGGGTTTGAATCCCGCTATAACACTGGATGTATATTTTTGCTGTCTTTCATAAAATTGAGTTATCTGTTTTTTAAACTTGAAAGAGTTTTTAAGCCATTACTTGTATTCACAAGGAAACCCACGCGTGTTTGCAATAAATAAATAAATTCCACTACCCCATGAAGGATGGTAGGTACTTTATTTACGAGGCACTAGAGCTGCACAATGGGCTATTGGCGACGGTCTGGGAAACTTCCCTGAGGATGATATGAAGACATGACATTTTAAACCTCTGCAAAGGAGATGGCTCCTCTGCTTTGGTAGCCCGATGAACGGCGCGTGATGCCGAGCCCTTTACGGTAGAACAGTTTAATGAGGACGGATAGCGCGCACCCTTGGTTCCTACGCAGACTGATCAAAGTGCTCCCCCACCCGCTTACTGACCGCAGCCAGTGATGATTGACTTCGGTGTTCTACTGGGAACCGTGTCTTTATCAGTCCACTGCGGGACCATGAAGGATGGATAAAACAGTTGCCATAGTTTAAGATATTTAAGTTTAGTACCTTTAAAACACCTAAATTAATCATTTGAAGCCATCAATCATGTCCTTTTCCCTCTTGTTAAAATTGAGAAAATATGTTAAAACAGGAAAAAATTAACAGTCATCTAACTCCTCCAAAACATTTAAAAATACTGTTATTTTAAATAGACCATAGAAGTGTAAGAAGATTACTATCATTATTCCTGATATGAGGCTTGGACATCAAAAGTTAAAATCACCAAATAAATGATAAAATTAGTGAAAGTTATGAAGAAAGTTTCGGTAATTTTATCGAGACACTTTTGAGCAAGGCATAAAAACCATTTATTTGGTTAAATTTGATTTTCAGTTTTGTATTTGTTACTAAATATAGGGTAAGAAGAATTATAATTTGAAAACCAGAATTTCAGGCAAAACGTTACCATAGCAAACGGCAAAATTACCAAATTAATGATTTAAATACCGTAATGGTTATGGTATTTGATTCATTAATTTGGTATTATGGTTTAATTACTAGAATTATGTTTTATTTTACCAGAAATGTCTCTACCATACAAGCATGGTAATTTTGCCAGAATTTTTTTCTCTGTGCTATAGGTAAAATAAATAAGAAATTAAGATTAAATTCCTAACTTAAAAAGCACTTATCTTTCATTTGATTTAAAATATATTCAATTCATGCAATTTTCATCCTATTTTATTATCAAATCCATTAATCTTTTTATGTCACTTTATACGAGAGATATCTTTCAAACCTCTCTTTCAACCCTCTTTCAAACCTCTTATGGTTAGTCCGACGGTGATGAGGTACTAAACCAAAATGAAAATATCGTAGGCATACCTTCTAGTACCTTATATCATGGATATATATGTAAGTGCGGAATCTTCTATTATTTTTAACCTCATCGCATTTTAATTTTATTTGATTCTATTTAGTTTTTTCTTCTCTAGTAATTACGAAGAAAAACTAATTTAAACTTACATAAAAAGACCTTTTTTAAACTTACTTAAAAAGCACAGTTTAAACATACTTAAGAAAATTCGCACGATTCCATTTATTTTATAATTGTTTCAAATTTTATTTTAATGTTAATTTTTCCATAAAATAATTTCAGATATTTTTCTAGAAACATTATAATAATTGCAAAAAACAAATTTTCGTATTTAACAATTTAACAGATTCTTCATTAATTTTTTCATTTGTCATTCTTTTGTTTTATCTAAAGACAGTAAAACAATTATTCGAAATCTGAGAAATTTAAAATATGATAAATTCTTTCGTATTTAATAATCATCCATGAATAATTTAAAACTTTTTTCATATAAAAGTTTTTGTTTTTTTTATTCATTTGTATGCATATTTAAATAATTTGAATTAGCAATTTTTCTCTAAAAGTAAGAAGAAATTTTTGTCATTTTAATTTTATGTCATTTTAAATTCGATTTTATGTCATTTTAAAGTTTATTAAGTAAAAATAATAGTTTTTTTAGTATAATAATTATGAAATGGGAGTAGGGTTATTTCTCATTAGCACTTCAATTTTCAGTTCTCTTTCAAAAAGATGAGGAAAAAAAGCAATAATTGATTGTTCTTATTTGAATATAGATATTAAATACATTCCTAACTTATACTACACTATGAATTATTTTTATGAAAATATCATGAAGCACGCAAGCATTTATAACTTTTTTCTATTAAAAACTTTTTACTTTCCGTTATTTTTTAATTGTTATGAGTTTGTTGATTTATGATCTTGCTTGCTGTTTTTTATAAAATATTTTTGTATCTAAATAATTAATAAAATCAAGTTCTCATTAAGTCAATAAACAAAAATACTTATGAAACTTTAAAGCAGTTCGTAGAATGTTTGTTTTGTTCTCTTAAAAAAACTTTCAATTTATATATTTGATATTTTTTATCGTTTATTTTATTTGTTTATTATGTCTTTTTTTTAATTCAAATTCATTAATTTCTATAATCATTTTTGAGTCAAAGACAAAAATAAAACTATTTATCATTTCTGAGAATGCAGTTATGAATATAACTGTATTAAATTTTTATAGTGAAATTTTTATTTTAATTTTTTAAATTTGTTATAAAAACTACTGAATTTTTATCTTTCAATATTTTTTGTAACTTATTTCATTTGTTTTTAAGGACGTTGAGTTAATTACAAAATCATTAGTTTTTTCTCAGTTAATTTCTATAAAAGTTAAAGACGAACTATTTAATAATTCATTGAGTGTGGTTATGAAGGAAGTTCATAATAATCAATTTCATTCATTATCAAATTTTTGTATTCATATTTTTAATTT